GAAGAGAGTGGGCTGTTTAAATGTAGTTGAGTTAGCAATTTGGACCCTCAACTACAGCATGTTACAGTCTATTAGTTAAGTGATATTTAAAATCTATACATCAGTGGTAGAGCAATAACTCCCCTGTTTCCCAAAGATGGTTCATCATTGGTCATGATATAGAGCGATATACAGAAATCTTTGCAAGAAATGTTTTTATAAGGAAATAGTCACTCTTTCTCTTCACATAGGACATTTCACTGTACATTAATGATGCACATAATATGCGCAGGGTTTTATTGAATTTTAGGAATACAGAACCAAGTTACTTCTTACTTTTTTAAAATATTATGGTAGAAAAGATATTTAATTAACTCTCTCCTACCGTAGTACATCTAAAACTCCTGGGAAAATATTAAAGAATGTTTTAGTGCATGGTGGCGCTAATGGGACACACAGAGTATTTCTCTGTGAAAGCTCGGATCTGTAAAGGGCGTAGGCAATAGGTGGACACTAGGAATTTTCCAGAGTGATCAGCTAAACCCAGCCAGCCTGGAGCTGGATTTTAAAAGCACAAGGATGGCTGTGAAGTGAGAAAACACTTGCATAAAACAGAACCCTTGATGCATCATCCAGTCCAGCCTCAAAGAATTCACAAAGATAAAAGCAAACAACATGACCACCTAAATGGACCGTTCACCCCCCACATGGGGAAAACATCACCATGAAAACAATCCAACAGCAAAAAGAGCAGAAGTAGATTGAAATGTTTGAGAATTATTACATATAATTCATATATATCAAGAAATTTATGTTTCAGTACATAGAATTGAACAGTTTGTTTTTTTAAAGAAACTATTCAAATTAACCAGGTGGGTTTGAAAAAGAACTTCAGAAAAAAAAGTAAATAAAACATATAACACTCAACACGAATAATGCAGTGATGGGCTAAATAGCAGGTTAGGCATGGGTGAAGATGAGTGAAATACAGAACTGAGCAGATTATGGGGAGAGCAGCCTAGGGAAAGAAAGCTATGGGAAATCTGAAGGTGAAATGGAAGATTAAGATAGCTTTCAAAGGTAGCAGCTGAGACTGTTGATGATTTAAGCATTAAATCACAGGTCTAGGAATTCTAAGAAAGAATGTTTAAAAATTCAAACATTCAATGTCTTAATGAACCTGCAGAGTAGAAAAGACAAAGAGAAGATCTGAAAAGTGCCCAGAGAGAACTAGAATGCCAAGATGGCTGATTTCTCATCAGAAACAATAGAAGTTTGAAGACAGTGGAATGGCATTTTTTAAGGGCCATTAGTCTAGATTGCTATGCCCAGTAAAATTATTTTTCAAAAACAACAGTAAAATAAAGTTATTTTCTAAGGCCACCAAGAGACTCCCTGATGGACGCATTTATACAATATTCTTCAGAAAAAAAAAATCCGGGATCCTAGAAGGAGTTATAACTAAAAAAAAACAAATAGAGCAAAGTATATTTATATATCTAAACAAACGTTGATTATTCAAAATAATGACACTAATGGGTTAGTTTCCAAAGTCAAAAATTCCAGTGTATAACTGTAATCATGAGGATTTCATGTGCTAAAGAGTAATCACAATGAAAACAATCTAGTCTGTGGGACACCTGGGTGATTTAATCAGTTAAGCATCTGCCTTTGGCTCAGGTCATGATCCCAGGGTCCTGGGATCAAGTCTCACATCAGGCTTCTTGTTCAGTGGGGAGCCTGCTTCTCCCCCTGCCTGGTGCTCCCCCTGCTTGTGCTCTCTCTCTCTCTGACAAATATATAAAGTCTTTTAAATAAATAAATAAATAAAACATTCTAGTCTGTATCGTTTAGGAAAAATTGAAAAAACGTATTGATGACTTTTAGACTTTGTGAAGTTAGGTATCCTTGAGCAAATAGCAAATAGCTACAGTAAGCATTAATGTAACAATAGGATTTAGTCTCTGTAAATGTACCTATTCTTTAGTTAAAGACAAAGGTAGCCTAGCTTCAAGAAAATGTAATTATATTCTATTTATAAGAGATATAAGGGGCGCCTGGGTGGCTCAGTTGGTTAAGCAACTGCCTTCGGCTCAGGTCATGATCCCAGAGTCCCAGGATTGAGTCCCACATCAGGCTCCCTGCTCAGCAGCGACCCTGCTTCTCCCTCTGACCTCTTCCCTCTTATGCTGTCTTTCCCATTCTCACTCTCTCATTCAAATAAATAAATAAAATCTCTAAAAAAAAAAAAAAAAGTACTCAAAAAGTTTGGGGCACCTGGGTGGCTTAGTTGATTAAGTGGCTGCCTTTGGCTCAGGTCATGATCCCAGGGTCCTGAGATCAAGCCCCGCATTGGGCTCCCTGCTCAGCGGGGAGCTGGCTTCTCCCTCTCCTTCTGCCTGCTGCTCTGCCTACTTGTGCTCCCTCTCTCTGTGTCAAATAAATAAAAAGAGAGGTATAACTGATATGAACACAGAATGTTTGATAGTAAAGGGGACAAGGAGGTAGGCAATTTAATTATTAGCCCGGTTATTAGCCTGGTTTCTTTAATTTTTGTTTTGTTTTTACTGCAGGAATCCCAGAGTTTTACTGAATTTTCATAAATAGTTTCACTAGGAAGATTTAATCATTCCATTCTAAATAAAATAAAAATTGACAAAACTGCAGAAAACAATATCAAATCCATAATACAATGAATAAACTTGTCATAATGGACTCATAAATAACAATTGGAGAATGAGAATCAGATCCTTATGATCCCATAGCACTTTTCTTAGTTAATGATAGATATAGTGAGGTTTAAGAACAATGGACTCATAAAGGGAATTTGACGTGTGAAGAAAAAATTACACCATGAAGTAATACATAATCAGAGACTAATGAAGAATTATAGTAAATACTTGCCGAGCTCAGGGGTAAAATTAGTAGTTCAGCTTGTAGTTTACAAAAGAAATCTTTTTTTTTTTAAATGGATCATTTTTTTGATGATGAAAGTGTTATGACCAGATATCAGTAGGACAAGATAATTATGAGTGCATCAAAATTAATTGCTATGCGGAACATCCTAAAATTGCCATAAATACGATCGCTGTGTTCCAAATAACACATATGGAAATGTATGTACAATAGCTATGATGGGAAAACAATAAGAAATTTTGGCCAAAAGACATAAATGATTATTCTCAAAGCAAGAAATAGAAATAGCTAATAAATATTTGAAAAGATGGACAATAACAAATGTAATCTGAGGGGATAAAAAGAGAAGCAGCAATGAGATAACATTTTTCATGTCAGATTGGCAAGGATGAAAAGATTAAAAAACTCATACCTAGGGGTTTATAGACATGGGTCTGTTCAGATATTTTCTCCATTCTTCATATTGTCATTTGAGTAGGCTTATGGTCTTTTTTTTTTTTTTGGTCATGCATAAAAATATGTTTTTTAATAATATTTATCCATCTTGCAAAGGTTTTTTTTGAGGTTTGGTTTTATTACTTTAATCTTCCATTAACAACTTGACAATATATTCTGCGCTCTTTGATCCAGTCATTCCACTTGTAGAATTTATCCCAAGTTATCCAAGTATATAAAGGCTCAAGATTGTTTTTCATAGCCTTGTTACTCTCAGTGAAAAACTGGGTCAATTTCCAGAAATCAAGCACTTGAGAAATAGATTATGGGCGGGGTACCATTTAAAAGATGACAGGGGGTAATAGTCAACTTTTTAACGACATACAGGCTAATATTGACATAGTAAGATAAGCGTGACATTAGTAAGTGGACTAAGCAGAGCATATGTCTGTTATATGAACTTGCGTGTGTACCTGTCCATTTGTAAGCAGTCACTCATTTACAGTTGCACAGATGGTAATCCTAGCCCATGACGAGCATGGTCTATGCTGTAAAATAAAAAAATAATGACATAGTATTTGGGGGACCTGAGTCTTAGTCACTATTAGGCTGATTTCACCCTATCTTCTTACATCTCAGGGCTCCTTAAGCATCCCCATCTCTAAAAATGAGGGTGAGGGGTTGAGCCTTGGACTTCATTAGCAATAACTAATACCCCCATAGCGGTTGTCATACGCCTCATACCCCTGTTCTGCATCCAAGGCAGATAGTAGCCATCAGCCCTAGTCTCCTTTCCCTGGGCTCAGCCAGACCTCTGGATTCTTCTCAGCAGAGCGTTAGGTCAACATTTCTAAACAGATTGTACTTTGCACTTGGAACTTCTTTGCTATCCTTGCATGGGATGGTCTTAGAAGTCCTTTCAACAAAAGGATTTTTTTCTGAGGAACAAAGTCACTGTGATGAGAAATAAAAGGAATGTTTTCCAGAAAAAGGCGTCTGCTTTTTAGTAGCCGCGTTTTTAAAGTGGTGGAAACAGGTGAAATAAATACTGATGATACATTTTATTAAATAACAGATTTCTTTTCATTTATAGAAAACAAGTATCGTGGGCTATTTCACGTTGTTTTCTCATACAAAAACTTAGAAATCCAGTGTATAGTTACAGCACATCATATTTTAGATGACATTTCACTGCAGATACTTGATCTCTACTTAAATTTACAGTAAGAAGCAGATTCGCATATACTGACGTTCTTAAATTTCGTAATAATTGAATTGAGTGCCAGTTCCTTAATTAAAATTAAAGTTGAGATAAGGTCACACAAGCAGCATTTCAAGTACCCAATAGCCACAGATGGCTGGTAGTTACCATATTGGACAATGGAAGTTTAGAGAATACAAAGAAACACACTATTCGAGTTTAGCTTTCAAGGAGATTTCCTGATTGGGAAATCAAGGTATAAGGAATATATATAACAATCAGAATCCGAAACAGAATATAATTAAAAGCTGGCAGTGGGTAGGCTAAAGGCTACTTGGGTAGAAGTTCCAGAAACATCCACAGCTTGATGTAGCCTTCACGCCTTTGGAGTCCAGCTGGTGGAGATGACGTTGCAAGTTGGGAAGAATGGAGTGTCTTACTTGAACACGTGTGTGTGTTCTCCCTGCAGGCATGGGACCCGCTGTGCTGGAGAAGTGGCAGCCGCAGCAAACAACTCTCACTGCACGGTCGGAATTGCTTTCAATGCCAAGATCGGAGGTACGGGAAACAAACGTGGGTAGATGGAGCACTCTTTCAGAGCTCAAGATAGGGCTGCATTGGCAGAGCAGTGTTCAACTGTGGCCGAAAATGACCGTCTTCACGTGTGTTTTTAAATAAAGTTCAGGGCTTTTGAAGCAGTACCCTTCTGGGGGTGCGAGCACAGATGTTTCTTGATTTAAAACAGGCATGAAGAACATGTCCAGTCATGAATTTGGGGTCATTGACATCTGTCCAGACCTATCCAGTGGCTGTCTGGGTCGGAAAGAACTGATCACCTTAATATCAGCCCATATTGTCTCTATGGAAAGAGACATTCTGAAAGTAATGTCAGAACAGAAAATCCATTTTTTTCCCTTTTACCTTATGTGTTACCGAAAGTTCCTTTTTAATGGAAATTAAAATGGGAAATGGTATAATCTCCTTTTGTAGACCCATAATAGAGCAATAGAGTTGTTGTTAATAATCCCAGATTATGTATGTACATTACACACACATGCACAAACTCAGATATAAGTATGCCTACCACAAGGACCTTACTAAGGGAGTATCAACGTAGGCATTGACGGAGGCGAACTCCTTCACATTTATAATCATCCTCGTCAGCTGTCACCTGATACCGCAGGCACATGGTAAGAGACAGGATAGATCCTAGTGGCTCGAAGGTGTCCCCTAGGGGGTTTTCCTAACCAGTGTCACAGATGAATGACCTTCCTGGTAACTAGACTGACATCTTCATTTCCAGTACACTATTGTTGCCAAGTGGTATATAGAATTGCATTTAAAATAAAGATAACTGTCCTTCCTAGAGTAAATGTAGAGATCTCGTAACGTGACATATTGGGGGTGTTTAGTAACGGTGCTAAGAAAAGGTTCCTGACACTACCTCAAATATCAGTGCTGAGTGCATTTGACCTCTTTCTGTCCTTTATTTCACACTGAATTCTTAGAGTATGGCAGCTTGTTAACCAGTAATTAGCTGTACTCTGAGAGCATCTGTTGTGCGTCAAGGGAAAGTTCACGAGGGAGCTAAGGAAAGGAGACAGAAACTTCCCCTGAAGAACGATGAGGGTGCCAGACACCCTTGATAGTCTCAAGAGTGTCCAGTGACCATGATAGCTGCTAATCAACCCTGTTTGCTGTCCCAGACACAACACACACAGTCCCTCACATGCACCAACACACGTCCATGTCCGCGTCCTCCCTCTCCCGTGCTAACCCAGCATTCACTGACCTTGAGGGGCTGAAGGAACAAAATCACAGACAAGCTGCGGATCTCGCCAAACAGGACTTCAGTGAGAAAATGAACGGAATGGCAGTGACTCACCAATGTTCTGTCATCCCCCAAACAGGAGCATTCTGAATTATAAATTAACCCCCCGGTCCCAAAGCATGAAGGCTTACAATCAGATAAAGAAAAATGGACCTTTCATCTTAAAACTTGAGGAAACAAAAATAATTACTTGTTAATATTTGGTCAGAAAAGGAATATTATCCTCTAGATACGATTTCATCAAGCTTTTTTTTTCCCCGGACTTCCATCAGTTGTAGACCTAGAAACTACACCCAAATATTGTGTAACTACTCCTCTGTGTTGGTGTTTAGAATTTCCAGTTAGGTTTTTTCAAGCAGTGGTACAACCCAGTGTTTATTTCTTTGTACCGATAAAATACAGTTGATCCTTAAACAGCACAGGTTTGAACCGCGTGTGTCCACTTAAATACAATTTTTTTTCAGTACGTACGGTACAGTACTATAAGCGGACTATGTCCTCTGTAAGATTTTCTTAATAACCTTTTCTTTTCTCGAACTTACTTTATTGTAAGAATATAATCTGTAATGCACATATCTTATAAAATATGTGTTCATCAACTGTGTATGTTATCGGGAAGGCTTCCAGGCAATAGTAGGTTATTAGTAGTTACGTGTTTGGGGAGTCAAAGTTGTACATGGATTTTTGACTGCATGGTGTTGGGGAAGGGTTAGCGCATCTAACCCTGAGTTGTTGAAGGGTCAACTGTAGTTCCATTTTATCCTTTGAAATAGCAAGAAGTAAAAATGGAGGGCATACGAAATAGTTCTTGTTTTCAGTAAAAACTGTGCAGATGAATTTTGAATATTCATGTCAAATTAAACCAAACCAGTGGCTGCTTAGGACCCAGTACACACAAAGAGCATCCGGCTGGACATTCTACTCCCCTAAAACAGAGTGCTGAAAAGCCTTCTAAGTACAGTTTCCTTTTAATAATTTTTAAAGTAATGTATTTATAACCCTTGTGATCCACGTCACTTGTCTAAACATCCCTTTAAAAATCCAAAGGTCTCAAGGAACTGACAGTCAAGAGATATTACAAGCAAGTGCAGTGTCTTTAGGGGTGCTGGGAGGAAATGTAATGTGTCCCGAGTGTTGACTTCCACTGTTCTTTTGGAAGTAATTATTCAAGGATATAGTGACCTATCTGTCATGTAGCTGAGAAAGGTTCCCCTGGAAATATGGCAGAATGTCACCAGTTAAGTGTTGTCTGTCTCCGGCCTCATGGTCATTTCTTCTGTTTTGTATGTTTGCAGATTTTAGAGTTTAAAGTTAAACATTTTTTTAAAGCACAAAGAAGGTGTAGTCTTTTCAAGAATTTGTTGGTTTTCCACCAGAAGTCCCGCCTCAAAACTCCTAGTATCAAAGCTGCCTGATTAAGGTTTTTATTATTTAAGCCCCATGTGTCGGTGGCCAGAAAAACTTGAAATCCCGCTAGAGAACAAGATTTTTCTAAGGAGTAAACTTGAGCCGTAAAGATAGAATTGTAAAATAATTACAGTGTCTCAGTGGTGCTTTTTAGCTTAAGCTGAAGGAGATATATGTTTACTTCACAATTAGATGTTTCATTGTCGTTCAGAGTCTCCAGAATAGAAGGACAGAGAGAAGGCCTGACATTTGACGTGTAATTTATTCTTGGGTGTCTGTGTCTATTTTTTTCCTGTTAAGATTAATAACAAATCCCTGTCTGTCTGGCGGGAATATACGTAAATGAAGATTAATGACTGAACATGGTTAAAACCCTTTGAGACATAATTGATGTGTTACATGCACAGAGAGCATTCTCATTTATTATTTGACTTATAAATAACTTGGCAAAGAAATCATATATTAAGTTCACATCAGTCTTACAGATTAGGAGATAACATTAAGGAGAGAGGAAATTAGACCAACCTAACTAGGCAGCTTTCCAAATTTTGTCAGCCCGCTAAGGTCAGAATGCTTTATACCAATTATGAACACAAGTTACCTAATAAAGAGAAATTTAGGGAAGATGGATCGCTTGAGGCTCTCTGTCAAGTACTCTCAGAAGACAGGGATAAAGAGAAGGGAGAGATTGAGGGAACTTTCAAAAAGAGAATAATGGATTAAAAAAAAAAAGGTTTTAAAGAAGTTTCGCTCTCTCACGTACGATGTAACTTACTTTCTCTCCAAGAAAACTTTGGAAGAATCTGTGTTATCTTTTTTAGAGGGGGAGAAGATGCTCCCTTAAGTGTTGATTAAATGTTGATTCTTTGCCCCCCAGTTGCTGTAATTGGAATATGTCTTGGGCTGTCTGGGGGTTCTAGAGTGAATGCTCTATTCAAGCCAATTCCCTTCTGTCTGGAAGGGGTTCGGATGCTGGATGGAGATGTCACGGACATGGTTGAAGCAAAATCGGTTAGCTTCAATCCCCAGCACGTGCATATCTACAGTGCAAGCTGGGGCCCGGATGATGACGGCAAGACCGTGGATGGACCTGCTCCTCTCACCCGCCAAGCCTTTGAAAACGGCGTTAGAATGGTAGGTTTTAAAAGCACCTTGGCTCATACTTTGTCCTTCGGTGACGGTGCTCATGGGAAACCGTCTCTGCAACTGTGGGTTCCGGTCCTTGGGTCTAGAGGAATGGACAGAGTCCCTAGCTGAGCCAGAAGACAGCTTTATAGAAAGAGGGACTGAACCCTTAGTATGGTGTGTTGCATCCGTTTTGCAAATGAGCTAAGAGCTAGAGAGTTTTCCCCAGACAAGAACAGAGGTGTATTTGGCTGCTTAGGTTTGCTCAAAGGAAATGTATCCGTTCATATGTGAATCTTGCTTTTGGAGCAATAAATTCTTAGCTCCGTGAGATGGAAGAGAAATGAAAATACTGAATCTCTCCAGTTGAGGTCATCCAGCAGTGCCCTTCTGGGCCTCCCCCTTTCATACACCCTTCCCAGGTTTCATTTCTCTCCCAGGACAATATTCTTGTTATCCTGGCTCCCAAGTTTCCTAACCAGGCTGTGCTCATCAGCATTTTTCTTCATTTCACTAAGAAATCCACACACCACTCCTCCCCTCAAAAACTGACCAGGTAATCTACTGTAATAGAATTTCTCCTTCAAATTACAGCTCTTAAAAAAATCCCATTTTATTTTCATTAAATAAAAAATAAGGTCACCCTATACTTGTAATCACGGAAGGAGGAGCGCTCCGTTAGAAGATCTCCTTTCTGTTTCTTACTTGTGAATGAAACCTTGGGTGATTTAAAGCATGCATTTTAATCATGATCTCGGCCTGTCCTCCCTTTCCTTCATCATCTCTTTTTACGTTTTCTGTAATGGAAGCGCAGTTGGCTCTTCCTATCCTTTACCATGTACTGTTTTCCCCGCCTCATCCCTATGCCTTACAGTTATACAGCCCATTCTCTTCCACCAGCAAGCCTCCGTTAAAATGCTGCCTCTCCCCAGAAGCCTCGTCACTGCCTGAACTAGAACCAAGTGCCAGCAATCCCTACCCTGCACCCACGAAACTGCATATTCTTCCAGTGTCACACAAAGTCATTATCATAGTGTGCTTTATGTCCATTATTCTGGTCTGTGTCTTCCTCATTAAATTCTGTGTCGTGGGATAGCAGGGCTTATGCCCATCTTGAGAGGCTTTGCAAAACCCACAGAGTGCACGGAACTCTAGGGAGTGCTCAGTAAATGTTTGTTGAATTTCATGTAATTTACTACGAATTACATCAGCCACGGGACGGTTGTGCATTTAGCCCAGATCTGGGGTGGTGGAGTGCGTGCAGCGGGTTAATGCAGTGTTGGCAGCTGGAGTACAAGTAACCCTGCTGCTTCCACCTTGGTGGGGTTGGTGCTGGGGTGAACTCACAAGACTAAGCCAAGCTGTCTCCCGGTTCTTTTGAAACAGACTGGAAGGGAAGCTTACGCACTCGTTCAGAATATACTTCCTAACTGAAAGATAGTTCAGGCTTGTTTAAGACATCCTTTCTAGTTCTGTCCATTTTTAGGTACTCGAGAGCCCTTTAAAGCTATAGAATAGGGTTTAAAATGGCTTTGCCTAGAATTTTCCTTTCAAGGTGTCTGAACACCAAATGAATGTGCTCTAAGTAATCTGGAGATTGCATTACCAAAGCCCTAGACTGCAGAGTAGTATTCTCTCCAGGCCATCCACTGAATGGTCATTCAAGTGATAGAAATCAAACTTAGTTCATATTTAATTTTCAAATTGTATGTGTATGGCTTTTGATAAAAAGAATAGGCTGGGATTTCTCATTGGTATAATGTATTAGTAATTAGTAATTACTAATCTCAGTAGCGTACATATTGAGATAATGGGGACCGATATTTTTCAAGTTTTTGCTAAGGACTCTCATTCAGTGGTAATCTCATCTGGAAGTTCAATGTGTAAAACAAAAATCTTGTACTTTGGTAGGAGGAGGAAAGGGTTAAGAAAGAAAATCATCTGAGGAAGCTATTCAAACTTATGGGAAGATTATATTTAGAAACAAACAGTTGTGAAAAAAAATTACTCTATATTCATTATTAAGTACAAAAGTAACCCATGCTTATGAAAATAAATCCTACTACAAAGATGAAATTAAAAACAGATTCCCCACACAAGTAGATAACCATTGTTTTTGGTGGTTTTTTTTAAAGATTTTATTTATTTATTTGTCAGAGAGAGAAAGGAAGAAGTGAGAGAGAGAGAGACTGGGCACAAGCAGGGGGAGCGGCAGGCAGAGGGAGAGGGAGAAACAGGCTCCCCATTGAGCAAAGAGCCCGATGTGGGGCTTGATCCCATGACCCGAGCTGACGGCAGACACCTGACTAACTGAGCCACCCAGGCATCTCCTAGATAACCATTATTAAGAGTATGGATTCCACCTTTCCCAACTTCCGTGTGCATTTCCACAGCAAACGGACCACTTGCCTCTATGTTGCTGTTTTTACTTAACTGTGTGTGACAGGCATTCTTCCAGGGTAATTCATAATGATAGAACTCTTTTGTATTATAATGTTTCACCCTTTTTGGAATATGGCAATAACATAATTTATTCAACATTTCACTGAAGATCTCTCAAGGTTTTAATTTAAAAAAGGCGAGGGGGGCATTTAGCTATTCATTTTTAGAGTTAAGGTAGTAACAAAAGAAATAACTCTTGAAAAACAACAGACTATTCTCTGGCTGCTATTATGGTGCATGCAATTATGGAAGACCAGCAGCGACCCCTTTAAATGTGTTTAGATCAACAGGATAGAGGTTTAGTGTGTTTACTACACGTAGGCTTCGAACTCAACCAGCCAGAGTCTGGGATCTGTCATTTACTGCTCTCTGACCTGATACAAATCAAATTACCTCTGCTCCCATTTCCTCATCTAAAGTAAGGCAATAAAAGTTCTAACAGAGATGTCATGAGTGTTAGATGATAATGCTGCTAAAGCTATTGACAGAATCCCTGGAATATAATAGGTGCTTAAGAAATACACTTTATAGGTATCTGTGCATGTAAATATACATTTTTTTTTTCAGAGAAGAGGTCATGTCCTTTCAAAAAACTTTCTAGTTCTCCTCAGTCCCCGAACCTTGTGTACCGTTTCTGCACTACAAAATTCTAGATGATCCCATAGAGTTACTTGTAGTGGTGGATTAGAAACAGTATATAGAAATCAGCATAGACGTCCTGTGTTCTTGCCTGTCATAGACATTTTTCTTCCTATGTCTGTACTCACCTTCAATTTCATTTGCCCTTACAGCACCTCTTCCATTTCGAGGTAACCTCCTGATAACAAATTCATTCTACTTATCTATGTTCATCGTCTTGAATTTAATTTATATTTTCCCAAGGGAGGTTTCTCTAAATATCTATGAATATATAATTTAACATTTTTAAAGCAGTATATTAGTCTTCCAGAAGAAAGAAGCCTTCCACTTCTTTATTATCAAACACCATATGGTACAGTACATTCTATAGTCTTTGAGATTTTATTCTAATTCGTGTTCTTTATGTAATTGTCAAACATATAGAAAATGATAGGATGAAAACTTTATACAAAGTTAGGTTATAAAGTGCAACTAAGAAATTAGTGATTTATTGGCTGCATGACTTAAGGAATGAGGGAATAAATAACTACTAAAATAAGTCCCTCAGGTAGCTGGGTAAAACCCTGTGTGACGGCTTAAAGTCACTCTGGCCTGTTAGGGTTTTAACTACATCACTTACAAAAATACAGGAATTGAAATTTATATATTCTTTCTATAAAATTTAGTGAGCTCCCACTTTCTGTACCACATGGATAAAGCAGTGAAGGCAACATCTAAGTTTTATATGCAACACATGAAACTCTGTACGTTCTAGCAACAAGACAGGAAACAAACATAGACGCCATCAGGATGATAAGCTAATGATAAGTGTTAGAAATGAGAACAGGTGAGGGGGCAGGACAGAATTGTCATTCAGGAGGATAGAGAGTCCTTTCTGAGGAGGGGGGCACATGAATGGGGACATAAATGGTAAGAGGCCAGTCCTGTCGAAGGAATGAGTTCTGCAGAAGGAACAGCAAGAGGAAAACACCCCGAGTGGAGGGTGATTGGGGTGTGTTCATGGAACAAAATGCTGATTCAGGTGATGGGAGCGATGTGGGTGGAAAGCAGGTGGTAGGAGATGGTTTGGAGAGGTAGTTAAGGGCTGGCTCCACAGGGCTTTGTAAACCATGAAGGGTGTTTGCGATTTATTCCATTGCGGAAAACCCTCGGAGGTTTTCCAAGTAGTGGCCCGCTGGGACACAAAACTTTCAAAGGTCAGTGCCGTACAGGGAATGGACTCTGTGGGAGAGGGACAGGGAGGCGGGAGTGGAAGACTGAAGTGGTCCAGGAAAGAGGTGACGATGAGCCGGACTTGGGGAGGGAAGGGGTTGGCAAGCAGGAGAAGCCTACATATCAAGACAGATTTTCCACAAAGGAAATATATTTTGTTCAGGGAATCCAAGTATTGATCACATCCACTCCTGCTTGCTAATCAGAAAATGTAGCAAATATTGGATTTCAAAATGCTCCCTACTTGTTTTTCTATAACACAAGTATTGGGTTCAGTAGAATGTAACACTCTTCAAAGACTAACAAAATCAGAATTGATTCAATTTACAGCCTGAGACAAAACTGTGTTGAACAAATCAAGTTACAATTGACAACTTGCTCTTTTCCCCAGAGACTGTGTTTTATTTGATGCTAAGGAGCTGTAAAATTAAATGCAGGAATTAGAGGTCCATAATTTGAGTTGTGTACGATTAATAATGATGATGATACCAGTAGTGGTAATCATCCTAATAATAATGATCTTAAAACACTCAACTTTTGTCAGTCTGTTAGCATATGGTCAGTCCTCCGAGCCCCAAAATAGATACCATTTTTTTTCAGTTTTATTTTTTTTTCAGTGTTCCAAAATTCATTGTTTATGCACCACACCCACTGCTCCATGCAATACGTGCCCTCCTTAATACCCACCACCAGGCTCACCCCACCGCCCCCCTCAA